GCCCACGGTGATGTTGTTCCGTTTACTCCTGCCTCTCGGGTAGCCCAGGATTGATGCGAGAACCGAGTCGGGCCTGGGCTGGCCGGCGTAGCCCACTTTGCAGATGCTGGACCCCATGTCAATGACCAGAGCCCCCGTCCTCTGGGTGAAGCCATTGGAATTGAGCCTGGCCTGAGGTCTCATCGCGGAGTGAGGCTCCTTCTGTCCCATCCGTGGCGACGGGGACTTCGTTCCATTCCCCTGCTCCGCGGGAGAACCGGGACACTTCGGAAAACTTTTGGACATTTTGTTTCGTGCGCACCAGCCGATAAAGAACGCGGGAGTTAAATCTCTTCATTATCACAAAGTGGGTACATCACAAAGTCAAACAAAACTATCAATTGTGACGTGGGTGGATGTATATTTTGTTGGTCGTTAATTTTAATTAATTTTTTTTGCCCATTCTCTAGCAAATAAAATATCTACTTTTTCTTTCCTTCTCTGTACAAAACCAGAGCGGCCCCCCCGCCCCACGAATCCAAAACGACACAGATGGAGCGACAAACTGTCTGCTCCTTCCCTTCAGAAGGTGGAAGAACTGAAGACTTCTGGACAATCGCGGGAACAAAAACCGTAACGTTGCAGCCGTGTCAACGAAATTAGCCGTAAATGTGTCCAACGAGACTCAGGCTGAAAGCTAGCAGATGTCGGTTCTCTCATGAACACAACGTGCTGAGAGTAACTCGCCGAGAGCAGGATCCCGCTGAGGGGGGGAGAGAAATCAGCCGGGATTTTCCTGGCAGTCGTTATTGCAGCGCAACCGAGTCCCGAGGAATTGCCTGGAAGGTTCCATTAGTCAATTGCCTCGCCGCCTGGAAAAGTGTGGGAGAATTAGGAAAGTTTGAGCGAAATTTAACATAGAAAATAGGAGCAGGAGTGGGCCATTCGACCCTGCGTGTCTGCTCTGCCATTCAATATGGTCATGGCTGATCAACTCAGTGCCCTACTGCCCCTTTCTCCTCAAACCCTTTGATCCATTTACCCCTTCAAAACTATGTCAAACTCCTTGAAAATAGTCCAACCCTTGCCCTCAAAACAGAGAATACCATAGACTCACCACTCTCTGGGTGAAGAAATTCCTGCTTGTCTCAGCTCTATATTCCTGAGTAATTTTTCAACTATTTCACACACTGCCAACTACAACTCCAGCAGACCCCTTCCACTCCAGACCCTGAACTGACAACACCAACCTCACCCACCGTGAAACAACATCCCACTTCTCACTTTTCTGACAGCCAACCAACGCAATCTTTCCTCCAAACTCCACTGTTAATCCCCCTTTACCACCAGTGTTCACATTCCTTTTTCCTCTGCTCTGCACCTGATCTCCATCCCCATCCACTGCACACAATCCTCCTTCCCTCATTAGGTACTCAACCCTTCCCTTCCCCTGCCATCAGATGCGGCCCCCAGAATCTGATACCCACCCTCCCTAAAACCACCCCCACTCAACCCAGTTTCTCCCACCCATCCCAACTGACCCTAGACACTGCATCGTATTCCTGACACCCCTCCTCCTGCCTTCCTACCTTCTACCCAGGTGGCACCCCATCCAGCTTGCACCCTACATCTACTCAAAAAAATCCAAAGAACTATTGATGCTGGAAATTAGAAACAAAAACAGAAAAGACATCTCTTTTGATGAAGGGTTACTGATCCAAAATGTTAACTTTGCTTTCTCTCCAAGATGCTGCCAGACCTGCTGAGTTATCCCAGCAATTTCTGTTTGTGTGTCCTACCTCTACTCATCTGGCCCCATACCCTCTACCTAGCTGGTAGCTTACTTACCAGGCCCACAGCTGTACCCTAACATTGTATTTGTGTACTTATGGTTTGATAGCAGCTGTCAAAGTGACTGGACCTTTAAACGTCAGAATACGACAGCTGACTGCTGTGAATAGGAAGCATGGCTTGTCGTCCTCCAACATTTCTGCGATAAGAAAGAATGATCAGAATGGAAGTACATCTCTGTATTTCTGAAGCAGCTCTGTTCGGAATCTCATGTGGAACTCCTGCTTTTCATAAAAACGTGCCACCCCTTGGAAGATTTAGCCCTTCATCTTCCATCAGAACTGGGAAATATTAGACATGTAATAGGTTTTTAATAGATCAAATGGTGGAGAATGGAAAACAGCACAAAAAGGAAGCTTTGTGATTGACAAAGTGATTCCACAAATATATTAAGAGTAAGAGGGTAACTAGAGAGAGGGTAGGGCCCCTTAAAGATCAAGGAGGTCATTTTTGTATTGAGCCCCAGGAGATGGGAGAGATACTAAATGAATATTTCATGTCAGTTTTTACAGAAAGAAATGGAGGCTAGAGAACGCAGAGAAATAAATTTTGACATTTTAAAAACAGTTCACATTACAGAAGAGGAAATTCAGGATGCGTTAGAAAACATAAAAGTGGATAAATCTCCAGGACCTTATCTAATGTATCCCAGAACATTGTAGGAAATAAGGGAGGAAATTGTGAGACGTCTGGAAAAATATTTACGTCATCTATAACTACGGGTGAGGTGCCTGATGTCTGAAGGATGGCTAATGTACCTTTGTTTAAGAAAGGTTGTAAGGAGAAACTGGGGAACTATAGACCTATGAGTCTGACTTCAGTTGTGGGTAAATTGTCAGAGGTGATTTTAAAAGATGGGATTTATGGACATTTAGAGAGACAAAAATTGATTAGGGATAGTCAGCATGGTTTTATGTGAGGAGGATCGTGTTTCACAAACTTGATTGAGTTTTTTGAGAAAGTTATGAAAAAGATTGATGAGAGCAGAGAAATAGAAATACTTGGACTTTAGTAAAGCCTTCGACAATATTCTGTATGGTGGACTAATTAGTAAAGTTAGGTCACATGGGATTCAGGGTGATCTTACCAATTGGATATAAAATTAGCTGAATGACAGGAGACAGAGAGTAATGGTGGAGGGTTGTTTTTTAGACTGGAGGCCTGTGACTAGCGGTGTTCCATAGGGATCAGTTCTGGGTCCTTTTTTGTTTGTCATTTATTTAAATGATTTGCATAAGAGTAAAGAAGACTTGGTTAGGAAGGTTGCGGATGTCACCAAAGTTGGTGGCATTGTAGACAGTGAAGAAGGTTTTCTAAGATTACAGAGGGATCCTGATCAAATGGGTCTGGATATCTATCTCGTATGGAATACTATGTCCAGTTCTGGTCACCAGCTATAGGAAAGATATTATTAAGCTGGAATGAAAGATTTCAAGACCAGGGAGCACATTTTTAAAGTGAGGGGAGAGAGATTTAAAAAACGTACGAGGGGCAAATTTTATACACCAAGAGTGGCTCGTGTGTGGAATGAGCTTCCTGAGGAAGTAGTGGAACTGGGTTCAATTACAACCTTTAAAAGATATTTGGATAAGTACATGGATGGGAAAGGTTTGGAGACACATGGGCCAGGAGCAGTTAGGTGGGACTAGTTTAGTTTGGGATTATGTTCGGCATGGACTGGTTGGACCGAAAGGTCTGTTTCCATGCTGTATGACTCTATGACAGACATTAGATGGCAAAAAAAATGGTGGACAGAGTGAGTCTTACTAGAATTATTGATTGTTTTGAAGGTTTTGGGTCACATTGGAGTTATTATATCAAAAATTGGTTCACTTCTGTTGTGAAATTGTAACTTTTCTAAGTACTGTTTGTGTGCCCTGCTGTGTCTGCACAATAGAAATCTGTAGCAAAAGAAATAACTTGGATTCTATTATTACTTTGACAGTGTTAGGCTCACAGTTTTGGTTGGGTTATATCCAAACAGTAATATCTCTGCAGGGACACATATTTATTTTAATACATCTTCTGATATGACTAAACGTCTACCTCTTGCATCCCCAGAGATTCTGGGAGACATCACGAGGTGGTCTCTGTTCAAACAGCCATCTTCTTTTATTGCACCTTTGGAACATCTTCATGATGTCAGATTTTAGGGTCTTCAGGAAGGCAATGACTAAATGTAAGACTAGAGATGAGCATCAGGACGATTCAGAAGTCTAATTCTTGTAATACTTTGTTAAATAAAAATGCTTGTGTGGATTATGTCACACCCTAGGACCATGTGTGTATATTTGTGAATTGATAGGTGGTAGGGGAGGACGAAACCCAGCAAAGGCAGATTAAAGCAAATGTTGCTGTGACCATTTACTGAATGGAAATTTGCAGCAGAAAAATTGTGTAGACTGCATTGGAACAAATGGCTGATGGGGTAGAAAACTGGTTTAATGGAAGTGGTAGCATAATGATATACTGCTGGATGAGTAACAGTTACTGTAGTTTAAGTTCCTCCATGGCAGCTGGGAAATTAAGTTCAATTAATTAACCAAATCTGAAATTCTTAAAAATAAAATTAGTTATGGTGACTATAGATCAACCAAATTATTGTAAAAATCAGAAAATATACTGTCTTACAAAGTCTACATGGGACTGCAGACTCATAACAATGTGGTTGAATTTTAAATGCTGTCTGAAATAGTCTAGCAAGCAACTCAGGTAAGTCAAACTACTGCGTAAAAGTCTAATAGAAACGCAATAAAATGGACCAGCCTTTGTTGATCTAGACAATGGAAATGACAAACATGGGCCCAGTTCAGTTGACCCTACAATGTCCTTCTTTGTCCTGTGTGAGAGAGACCTGTTCCACAGACTAGCCCAGCAATAACATACATACAGCATAGCATAAACGTACATAATTGTAACGTTGACAATCAATGCCACAGATTCCTCTATTGTCATCTTGGGTATTTCTGTTACATTGGCAGTACAGAGCCATTAGGAATGGCTCAGTAGTACCACTACCGATTGCACTAAGTCCTGAAGGACAGACTGGGCATCTGGCATGTAATGAGACCCAGTTTGACCTGTTCATTACTGTTACGAATGTACCTACCCATGACAATATTGGTAGGAGTGATCACTGCCAGAAGAGCTAACAT